TTCTATACGACTTCCATGTTGTCAATGGGGGCAAGATGGTGCCTTTTGCTGGTTGGAGTATGCCTATCCAGTATAAGGACTCAATTATGGACTCTACAATAAATTGTAGGGAGAACGGTAGCCTTTTTGATGTTGCTCATATGTGTGGCCTAAGCCTCAAGGGGAAAGATGCTATTCCTTTCCTAGAAAAGCTTGTTATTGCTGATGTTGCTGGCCTTGCTCCTGGGACTGGTACCCTCACTGTCTTCACAAATGAGAAGGGAGGTGCAATTGATGATTCAGTGATCACCAAGGTTACAAATGATCACCTCTACCTTGTCGTAAATGCGGGTTGCAGGGACAAGGATCTTGCACACATTGAGGAGCATATGAAATCATTCAAGTCAAAAGGTGGTGATGTTTCATGGCACATCCATGATGAGAGGTCACTTTTAGCCCTTCAGGTTAGCTTGCTCTTTCCACAATTGGTACATGCTAATGTGCTTTAGATAAATATGCTCTTATCATAAATAGGAGTATAATGTTTATCACATGCTCTGAGATCTGATCAATAGATCGAAAATGGGAACTTTAGTAGACAAGGATAAGAAAAAATGACATCCATCTTCACAGTGGATATAGAATGTCAAAATTCAGGAGATCATTTAAGCGGTTGTGCTTTTTTGTTTGCTAATTCCAAGCTCTTAGTAAATTCACTTATCTTAGGAAACTAACAGGAGCTGCATTTCATGGGTACATTCTTGAATTTATTTTTTGTCGTGATAGTTACAGAATTTTTCTTGGCTTCTATTTTCAGGGTCCTCTTGCTGCTCCAGTTCTTCAACATCTGACAAAAGATGATTTGAGCAAGATGTACTTCGGGGAATTCAGGGTTTTGGACATCAATGGGGCATCGTGCTTCCTCACAAGGACAGGGTATGTTTCTTTTCTTGCTTTCGTCTTCAAACCTGAGTGCTGAGTCTGTGCCTGAAAAAAGAAGAAGAACAAAAACAAATTCCTTCAGTTTGATCAACTTTTTAAGAATATTTGAGATCAAAATCAGAATCTTTTCAGATAAATGAACATTACCAAGCATATTGTCTGGCAGTTCCTTTATTGAGTGTTAACTGTTAAATAACAGGTTATTTCTTGCTTGTCTGGTTGGTCGAATACCCCTTTGGTATTGCACACTAAATATGTAAAGTTGTATCCATTAGGCAACATTTCGTTGTTTCTTGTTACAACCAAACTTCTCGATAACAGCCTTGTTTGTTCCGATATTTTCTGGCTGCTATAGTGAAGTGCTGTTATAGAAAGCATATATTATAACATGATATAAAAATCGGTTCCAAGAAAAACTTGGCTTTTATAGTGAATGACTATTATATATGGATGTTGTTATAGAGAGGTTTGACTGTATTCACTGTCCTATTTTCTCTCCATGCAATTATTTCCTGCTTCCTATGTACACTTGGGCAGTTGATCCTTGCGGAAGTAATCTTGGCTTGAGACAGCCTCTGATCTAATTTCTGTATTTTGGGAGGTTTTCAGGTATACCGGTGAAGATGGATTTGAAATTTCGGTACCTTCAGAAAATGCTGTTGACCTTGCAAAAGCTATTCTGGAGAAATCAGAAGGGAAAGTTCGGTTAACAGGTCTAGGTGCTCGTGACAGTCTTCGGCTTGAGGCTGGTTTGTGCTTATACGGTAATGATATGGAGCAGCACATAACACCTGTAGAGGCAGGGCTGACATGGGCCATAGGGAAGAGAAGAAGGGCAGAAGGAGGTTTCCTTGGTGCTGAGGTAATACTAAAACAAATTGAAGAAGGTCCTAAAATCAGGCGAGTTGGCTTTTTCTCTTCAGGCCCACCCCCTAGAAGTCACAGTGAGATTCAAGATTCAAATGGACAAAATATTGGGGAAATCACCAGTGGTGGTTTTAGCCCTTGTCTCAAGAAGAACATAGCAATGGGATACGTAAAAACGGGTAACCACAAAGCAGGGACCAATGTCAAGATTGTGATTCGAGGGAAGTCCTATGATGGGGCGGTTACTAAGATGCCGTTTGTACCCACCAAGTACTACAAGCCATAATAACTCTTTGTTGCCTCTTAAACTTGTTGATTCCTCTAATTGCTACCTTGTTCTTAATGTTTTTGGTGAAAGTGAACCCTGAATACTTCAATCTACATGTTTCCTCTTTTGCTTATGAGTTCCTTTCAATGCAACATGGACCACTTTGATTCTTGCATGATGTGTATTTCCCCTTTCACCTTCCTCTGGAAGTGTCTTTTAAGATTAGCACTGGGGCATTGATCTCAGTAGATATAGGATGTACATGAATCATATAGTTAGTGTGGCCTCCATTGAGTTGGTCTCTGTCCATTCTGCAAATGTTGGCATTTATATCAAATGAAACTCCCCTGCTCTGGTGCTGCAGTTCTGAAGAGGTAGTAACATAATGGGAGTTGTAAAGCACATTCGTGGCGTTTGTTTTGATTCGAAACCCTTTCCTTGCTTGGACAGCAGCCTAATAGTCAGGAATATACTATCTGATGACTAGGTTACAACTCTTCTTCCCTGTCAAATGGAACATTTTACTCTTGTATCATTGTTAAGTGTCAGAATACTAAGTTTTCAATAGCATTTCTTCACCACATAGCGTGACCGATTGCCAAGTACCATCTCAATTGCTAGAGATGATGAAAATCCAGAAAGGGAGCCAAGAGACTGATGATTTTTCCAACAATGGTTGGTAAAACAAGACAGTTAAAGTACATTGCTAAAAGCAGATATAAGCAACTCTGAAATACCAACTTCATACCTTCAACAAAGGAGCGAATGTACTATGTTTTCATGTAATCATTAAGCTTTCTTATGCTAAAAACTTAGAAATATCTTTTCAGAGGTATTAACAAAATGCCTATGCACTATATTTACAATGCCAATATGATGCGCGACCATGGGAATGATATATCATGGGGAAGAATCCTTTGTGCTGCAATGCCTGAAGGTTAAATATGCAAAAAATTGAGTAATGAGCTTTATATTCTCCTACATGCAAGGAAGAACGTAAGAAAATGGGACTATGAAAAATGGAGAGGAGTCAATCTTTATTTGCATATTTTAAAAAAATTAAAGTGCTTTGTCTGATAATGTACGAGTCATAAAATTCAACTTGGTCTAAAGCATTGCACCAAAAAGAAAAACTTGGTCTAAAGCAGGAAAGGAGAGGTTATGACTTTAAATCTCATTGCTATCTGACATCCACCAACAAGTAATTTTCACACGTTTAGTTCAAGAAAAAAGAGTCAAATCTACACATGAGAGTGTATTACATAACAAAAAATATGTCTCTTTTTTTAACAAGTTAAATTTTTAATGAGGTAGATCACATAATACAATAGTTTTCCCCTAAAAAAATGACACACTCAACGACCTTTTTCGTTTGATTTTTATTGTTACTATTAGAATTCCTATGAGGGAACTTCTAGTTTACAGGTTATTTTAACATTAAGGAATAATGTGCAGTGTGCAGAATCATAAAAAGTTAGAAAAATGCCCGAATCTTTTTGTTTTTGTTTTTATTTTTGCTCAAAATATTCAATATTTACTTCTGTATATAAATATTTAAGAGAAATTTTCATAAACCACTACCTTTTAGTAGTAAATAGCCATCTATAGATACTATTTGCTATATTACGGATTACAGATACCTTTTATGTGGTTATAAGATGTATTTGATGTATTTAAGCTATTGTATTTGAATACAGTAGCAAAAATAGGCGTGAATCAGGAAAGTCCAGCTAATCAGTTGTTGTATTCGACTGTATTCATGGAGTGAAACATGGGATTAGAGCTGGATAAATTATTGTATTCGACTGTATTCGATTGTATTCACTGTGTGAAATAGGGGATTACACTGTTTTTAAAACGAAAAGTGATTATTGTATTCGACTGTATTCGATTGTATTCACGGCGTGAAATAGAGAATTACATTATTTTTAAAACGAAAAGTGAATCAATTAACATAATAGACTCCTAATATAACTCAACAAACTCAATTATAACACACAAATTTTGTATTTTCAGTTATAAAAAAGAACCTCAACTGAAAAATACCCCAAAAACACAGCAATCTTCATAGAAATTAAATAATACATCTGAATACATAAATTATATTAATTAAAAAAAACCTTATGAATACATTCATGGCATATAGCGAGACAGTAAATACAATGAAATACATAGAATACAGTGGGATACATTGAAATACAATGAGATAAAAAGATAGTTAATACAATGAAATACATGGAATACATTACAAGGGAACGGGAAAGATGGGCAGTAAGGGCGGAGAGGGACGCGGCGGTGGTACGACGGTCAAGAATGATTTTAACATTTCGGAAGATGAAGTATCAAGGGATAATTTTATTGCCCATTTCATTCCAAGGTTATATGAAGACGATTCGGAATTCAACCCTGAAATTCTGAAAATGGCGTGTAAGAAGATCAGACAATGGTTCTGTCCAGCCCAAGCAAAGAAACCACGCACGCGATTTACCCGTCCTTGACACTGAGATGTTTGACCTGTGTCAGCTGCTTCGGGATTAGTTTATAAAAAAAATCTTGATGTTTGACCTGTGTCAGCAGCTTTGGGGCTAATACAGATTTTTAAAGAATTTTTTGAAAGAAGACACGGTTGTCACCGCCGGCGTAGCAGAGGGATTTTATTTACCGTGAGAATTTTTAGTTGTCACCGCCGGCGTAGCAGAGGGATTTTATTTACCGTGAGAATTTTTAGTGGGAGGGAAGAGAATGGGATGTATCAAAATAGAGACAGAAATTAAATGGTGTAATAGCGTATTTAGTGGCTTAGGGCTAGCAGGTAACCAAAATTAAATATTTTGCTATAAATCTTACAAGGTTTCTATAGAATATAATTTTTTTAAATAGTATTTATTTATATATATATATATATATATATATATATTTAATTGTAGGGCCTGGCCCAACAATTAAAGGAACAGAAATCGGTTTGAGAAATTACATAAACTCGCGTTTTAAAAACGCAGAAACTCGCCGCGTACATACATCTTCCGCCTACCCAAAAAAATGGGAGAGGCCCTCAATGTGATGGAGTCAGTAAGATCGGTAGTTTTCAAAGAATCCGAAAATCTAGAAGGTTCTGCCACAAAAATCGAAGGCTACGATTTCAATAAAGGAGTTAACTATGCTGAGCTTTTCAAGTCTATGGCCTCCACTGGTTTTCAAGCTGCTAATCTTGGTGACGCCATTCAAATTGTTAATCAAATGGTCAGTTTTCACTTCTTCCTTCGACTTAGCCTGAAAAAGTTTATTGCTTTTTTGCAAATTATCATCTTTTAGTATCTTTGTTTCAATATTTTTTTTCAGTTAATTTAGATTTGATGCTATTGAATTTGTTTACTGAATAGTCCAAGTTACTTCTTTCTTGAGCTTAGGAAAAAATTTAATTGCTTTACCCTAATTTTGAATTTTTAGTATTTGGATTTCAATGTTTTTTTCGTTGTTGATTTTTTTTTCAATCTTTTATAAATATTTTTAACTACTCTCACCTTTCCATTTTATATGATTGGTTTTGACTAGAAACAGAGTTTAAGATGTTAATTTGAATTATACATTATATTTAGTCTTAGTGGAACAAAATTGAAAAGTTTTCTTTGTGGAGAAAACATTACATCAATGTTTGAAATTTGAATACCTTAATGATATGAAACGTTTTGGAATGTCATAAGATATAAACAGTGTCATATAAATTTTAACAGAGAAAGTTCAAAAATTTGGAGTTGTAGAACTTTTATGTAGTCAAAATGTCATAAGATGTTAAAAGATTTTGTCCTAAAACAGAAAGAGTGTCAAATAAATTGGAATTTGGTTAGTATAAATTTTATGATTCATCGTATTTTTATGTATATTGAGAGTATGTAGCTCAGGAAGTGCTTCTTAATTTTTTTAATTATTACCTTCATCTTTAAATTTCTTGAAGTTCTTGAACTAGTCTTGAAATTGATTCCCAAAAGTTTGAAATTTGTGTATTTGATTCGTGGTGTGATGGGTTTGAAGCTAGATTGGAGGCTTTCACATGAGCAGCCCATAGAAGATTGCAGTGAAGAAGAAAGAGATGTCACATACAGAGAGTCTGTGACGTGCAAGATCTTTTTGGGGTTCACTTCAAACCTTGTCTCTTCTGGTGTTAGAGACACCATCCGCTACCTTGTTCAGCACCGTATGGTGAGTGGCATTTAAGGAATAGTTGCAGTTGTTGCTGTTCTAATAAGTAACTTTTATGTCTCTACTGTGTGATGAAGTTATACCGTCAAGTCTGATACTGTCACATCCTCTCAATCACTAAAGTTATACTTACCAAACTAATACTGTCACATCCTCTCATTCAACCTCCATACTCTTTCAGATGATTTATTATGTCAAGCACTGAATCACTGCTAGGCGTGGTTTGTATTTATTGAAAATTATGGATTTTGATATTATTTTCCATGTTCCTCTTTCTTTGCCTCTATTTTATTGGTTATGCGAACTAGAATATCCTCACCATCCTCTCGCTGCCGCACAAGTAGTAAATGCTACTCTAGCAAATATGACTTTTTGATTTTAGGTTTTAGCTATCGTGCTTAGCATTGGTCGAATGAAATTGTTGTTGCATATGGAAGAATTTGCTATCATTTATTGCGTCTTGGACCTAGCAAATTGTCTTCCCTCGCTGCAGGTTGATGTTGTGGTTACTACAGCTGGCGGTATTGAAGAGGATCTCATAAAATGCCTTGCACCAACCTACAAGGGGGACTTTTCTTTACCTGGAGCTGTTTTACGCTCGAAAGGATTGAACCGTATTGGTAACTTATTGGTTCCTAATGACAACTACTGCAAATTTGAGAATTGGATCATCCCAATTTTTGACCAAATGTATGAGGAGCAGATTAAAGAGGTATATACTCTTTGTCCGGTTCAAGTGTTGATCTTCCTGTGACTTGTTTAATGTTTGCTGAAACTTTAGTATCTAACCTGTATTATGAGCTTACTTACAAAGATAAATGGATCTATGGCTTGAGTTATTGCGTTTGTGATATTCTTTCGAATATCTGATATACTTATTATTTCAGGTTGATCCTTGCTATCATTTGTTTTATCAGCCATCTTAGCTTTTGCTTGTGATGATTTAATCTCTGACCTTTTTAGCTTCTTGTTGTACCACAGAAGGTTCTGTGGACACCATCTAAAGTTATTGCTCGCCTGGGTAAAGAAATTAACGATGAAACCTCATACTTGTATTGGGCTTACAAGGTACATTTCCGATTTACTTCCCATTCATTACATAGTTGATTAAATTTTATTTGTGAAATTAGAATGCCAAATATATTGTAATTACTAATTTCGAGAAATTATTTTCATAGATGAGAGAATTAGAAAGAGTAAGAGATATTACCTGAGAGAACATGGATTCGTGTGCATCATGGTGGCAAATTCATGATTGTGATCAGCAAGTGAAATCGAGAAGAAGCGGAAGGATAAAAGGAGAAGAAACCTATCAGGGTTGTATTGATAACCAAAAATTACAAAAAAGTATATATACGATGTAAAGTTCAGCTACTATCCAATAAATTAGAGGAAGAGAGAGAATGGCAGTGTTTATAGTATTTTTGATCTAGAAAATGCAATTGGGAAGGAGAGGTCTCTTTCCAAAGGGGTATGAATTGAAACAACATCTTATGAAATTCAGTAGGAAAATTAGTGTTCTAAAAATATCCGTTTTATCTCTAGATATTTGAAGTGATATTTTAGTACAAGCAGAAGACCTTCTGTTGAAACTTTATGACTTAATTTCCAAAAGAAAACTTCCATTCGTTTTTGTGAAGTTACTAAAGTTTGCCCTAAAACTTTGTCTCAAATCCAGAATTTGCTCTAGTAGCAGGTTTGGAACACTAGAGAATTAACTTAGATTGAATCCCACTATTACCCCTTGTACTATATTGATTTACAGCCTGGTAACCTGGTTATCAACATGTTATGATAATTTTTGGATGATCAGAAGCTCATGCATGGAGGTTCATCTAATTTTACTTGGGCAATTTCTTCGAAAAGTCATATTCATTCTGTTGAGAAGAGGGAGCGTATTGGTGCTTATTTCAGTACATGCATTTTCTTTGAGTATTTAATTTAATGCTACCCTGGTATTTATCATCATGCATTTTCTTTGGGTCTTTAATTTAGTGCTAACCTGGTATTTATCATTCTCAGAACCGGATTCCTGTCTTCTGTCCTGGCTTAACTGATGGATCACTAGGTGACATGCTATACTTCCATTCTTTCAAAAAGGGAGATCCAGATAATCCAGATCTTAATCCTGGTTTAGTCATTGACATTGTGGGAGGTATAAGTATCTTATCAAGTATTTCTTTCTCTCATCAAGTATCTTTGACTACCGAATTGACAAAATTAAATTCTATAACCAGATATCAGGGCCATGAATAGTGAAGCTGTCCATGCTGGTTCAAGGAAGACTGGAATGATTATCCTGGGCGGGGGGCTGCCTAAGCACCATGTTTGCAATGCCAATATGATGCGCAACGGTGCAGATTTTGCTGTCTACATTAACACCGCACAAGAGTTTGATGGTAGTGACTCTGGTGCCCGTCCTGACGAAGCTGTATCATGGGGAAAAATACGTGGTGGTGCCAAGACTGTGAAGGTTAACAATCTTCCCTTCAATACATTTTGGCCGAGCATCTCCTTCTGGTGCTGTCTTTTGGATTAAGTTTAGGGGAAAAGGTGTGTCTGACAAGTGATGATGGGTGTTGAATTCCTGATAAAGTGTTACAAACTAAAAGGTGGTTAAGTTTAATATTTAAAAGTTTTAGCTGGGAAACATCACAATATTTAGCTTGAGGGTGGAAGTGCTCTTTGCTCATCCTTAAAATCAGTTTTTATTTGTCTGTATGTTTTCCGGGCTGGGATTATTAAATTAGAGTAGCAGAAATCATTAGAGGAACAAGGTTCTTTTGCTGGCCTTTCCAGCGCTGCTATTAACATAACATAGATTTCGTGTGATTTTAATGGCTCTTACTTTGCAGGTACATTGTGATGCAACAATTGCATTTCCCATATTAGTAGCTGAGACATTTGCAGCTAAGAGAAAGGAATTCTCCCAGACAAGATGCCAAGTTTAACCGATTGAGAAGCAGTCCCTCCAATTACGTATGAATTGCTAATTTTTGAAGCCAACTGTTAGTGTGTGTGATCAATTATTCTGCAAACTGACTGGAGAGGGTACATTCAAGTAACCCTGAGTTAGGGAGTCCTGTATGGTTCAAATAATTTTTTCCCTTCCCACCATGTTATTTTTGGGGAGGAACAATATTTAGTTCTCTCCCTGGTCTTAAGTGGAGAGCTCAGCTGTGCATAGGTTTTGAATCATGTTGTATCAACAATTAATGTTTTTAGCTCTTTAGATTTTTGTTGAAATGGCCACTTATCGATATAGATGATGCTTGTAATCTGAAATTTAAAGATGTTAGTTATTGACTAATGACAAAATTCGTTAGTATTTATTATTTCTTCTGTATCTTCCTTTTGAGCAAAATGTTTATTGATATGCATGTTGGATATTTCTGTAGCAGTTAAGAACGAAGATTTTTAATCAAATTGGTGGCTTTTTCTTTCAGAAGTTGTTGGTAGTTCTTTTATTTTTTTTGGGGGGGG